TTCTACATTTTCTTTCACATATAGTGTCACTCTCCCCCCCCCCACCCCACGCACAACCTGTTCTGTCCTTCTGATATATTTTGTACCCCGGAATGATTGTGTCCCATTGATTGTCCTCACTCCACCAGGTTTCTGTGATGCCAATATCCTCCTTTAACACGAGGCACTCTAGTTCACCCATCTTATTATTTAGACTTCGAGCATTTGTGTACGGGCACTTTAAAAACTTGTCACTGTTTATTTGTCTGCCCTTTTCTGATGTGTCAGATTCTTTTTTTTTATGTGAATGTTTCTCATCTGATCTGGCCCATACTTTATCCTCTTCCATCCTCCTGACCAAAACCTAGAGAATCTATCAATAGACTCTCCTCTAAGAGAAGTCTCTGTCCGATCCACATGCTTCTCTGCAGCAGTCGGCTTTCCCCCATCTCCTAGTTTAAAAACTGCTCTGCAACCTTTTTAATGTTAAGTGCCAGCAGTCTGGATCCCCTTTGGTTTAGGTGGAGCCCATCCTTCCTGTATAGGCTCCCACCATCCCAAAAGTTTCCCCAGTTCCTAATAAATCTAAACCCCTCCTCTCTACACCATCGGCTTATCCACGCATTGAGACTCTGAAGCTCTGCCTACCTGGTCCTGCGCGTGGAACTGGAAGCATTTCTGAGAATGCCACCATAGATGTCCTGGATTTCAGTCTCTTTCCTAGCAGCCTAAATTTGCCCTCCAGGACGTCTCTCCTACCCTTCCCTATGTCATTGGTACCTACATGTACCACGACCACCAGCTCCTCCCCAGCACTACACATAAGTCTATCCAGGTGCCTCGAGAGATCCGCAACCTTCGCACCAGGCAGGCAAGTCACCATACGGTTCTCCCGGTCATCGCAAACCCAGCTATCTATGTTTCTAATGATCGAATCTCCCATTACTAACACCTGCCTTTTCCTAATGACTGGAGTTCCCTCCCCCGGAGAGGTAACCTCAGTGCGAAAGGAGACCCCAACATCATCTGGAAGGAGGGTCCCAACTATGGGAAGGTTTCCCTCTGCTCCCGTTGACCGCTCCCCTTCCCTGAGCCTTTCATCCTCTTTAACAGCGCTGGGGCTGTCCGACCGGAAGTGGGACAAATCTACAGTGTCCCGGAAAGTCTCATCAACATACCTCTCTGCCTCCCTTAGCTCCTGCAGTTCCGCCACCCTGGCCTCCAAAGCCCGGACGCGGTCTCTGAGGGCCAGGAGCTCCTTGCACCAAATGCACACATACGCCACCCACCCACAGGGCAGGTAATCAGACATGCGACACTGAGCGCAATAAACAGGAGAGCCTGCTGTTTCTCCCATTGGGGTCGGGCCCCAGCGCCTCCACAGGAAGCTGCTGAATGTGTGCGAGCCCCATGCTCAGTGGCAGCTGCTTTGCTGGCAGAGTGGGTCCCCAACAGGCCTCCCCCAGGGTGAAGCAGGTGTGTCCTGCAGCAAGCCCCTCGGCCCAGCTGGGCATTCCCCCACCCGAGGGCCCTGCAGCGTCTCCTGGGAAAGAAGAGAGACAGGTTGGGCTGGGAGGAAACTACCCGGGGTAGAAACCAAGCTGGGGGTAGAGTCATGCGTGCAGGGCAGGTGTCTCAGCTGGGGTTTCCCAGGCTGGGTGAGTGGTTGGGGCTCTGTGGCCGAGAGGTGTCCCTGCGGTGAATGATGCTGTTTGGCAGACGTATGAAAACCCTGCCGCTCTCTGCTAGGGGCCAGGCTCAGGACACACCAGGGCAGCCACAGTGTGGTTGGATTGTTTTACCGGCAGCCCAGCGAGGCAGGGACAGAAAAGGGGGTTTTTTTGGCTGACACCGTCTTCTCATGGCGAAACCACGCTTGGAGGCAGCCTGACCTACTGGTTAGAGCACTGGCCCAGGGAGACCTGAGTTCCATTCCTAGCTCTGACCCTGGGCAAGTCACATCCCCGCTCTGTGCCTCAGTTTCCCCATCTGTACACTAGGGGTGATGACAGTGACCACTGAGCTTTGAGATCTACTGCTGGGATGTGCTAGATAAGAGCTAGGGCTTAGCATTAATATTCCCCCGTGGCCCCAGAGCTCTGTGGTTTGGCGGGGTGAATTCAGAGCTAGGGGCTCTGGTGGACAATCCTGTCTTCCTGCTAGGCAGGTCCCCTGTGGACAGCAGCTCCCGGGCCAGCTGTTCTGTTCTCTTGTTCAGCCTCCACAGCCCCTTCGCTCCTGGACAGCCCTGCCGCCCAGCCCAAGCTCTGCCAAGGTACTTACCCCCGTGGTGAACCCACATATCTCCCCCTCCATCAGGGATTTGAGCAGGTAGGGTTACAGACCAGGGGCCCGAGCACCGGGTAAGTGAAGGGACACAGAAGGGGTCTGTAGTGGAGCTAGGAATTGAACCTAGATCTTCCCAAGACCCCATCCCATGCCCTGGCCACTAGACCGTGAGCTTCCTACCCCAATTAGGAGGGCAAGTGGCTGGGGGGATTTTGTCCTGCCTGGCACTGAGCTGAGGACCCAGCCCGCAGCCATGAGATCGCAGCGGTTTTCGGTCAGTGCCAGATCCAAACAGCTGGTCACCTAGATTCTTACCTAGACATTCAGCAGGGGGGTGGGGGGGATCTCTCACTGGTCACCGCCCCCTGGCAACTCCACCACTGCGCTCGAGGGTTGACAGCGGCTCTGATGCTAGGAGGGTGAGTTACCCACCCCTCTCCCGGGCGCAGAGGAGGGCGTGAAAGGCAGCGAATGTCAGGGCTGCTTCACCCCAACCACACGAGCAACAAACAGCCCCACCTGCCCTCAAAGCCCAGAGGAAACCAGAGACTCACCTGACGCGCGCAGCTCGGCGTCCTGATGCCGCTGCGAACCGGAGGCAACTGTAGGAGCCTCGGCTCGGGAAGCAAAATCCCCGTCTGACCTCAGCCCGGCTGCTGCTCACTTCCTCGCACACAACGCGCTCAGGAAATTCACGAGCCTTTCCCACCGAGGTTCCCGGAGACAACTCGGAACAAACCACAAAGCCCACAAGTCCCCGCCCCGGGCAAGGCGGGGTCCCTGGAATGGCGTTTGGAGGGACAGAGGGAATTGGTGTCTGGGGTGCATGTGCCCAGGTCTCTCTCGGAGATGAGGGGGCAGCTGCGGGGGGGGGGGTGTTTAGCTGGTCTGGGCCCAGCTGCAGCAGGGCAAAGCGCTTTTGAAACAAGGGTTTAAGAAAAAGGCAGCGACTGGATTATTTGGGGTTTGATCCTGCCCCTCAGAAGCCAGTGGGAATTATTGCTCTCACACAAGCGGGAGCGGGGGCAGACTCCTAGTATGCACCGTAACGTGGGGTTCGTGAGTCCAGCCCCCCCGGCAAGTGCAAAGCTGTCCTCGGGGCAGACACAGACTGGGCCCCAGGGGCCTGGATGTGTCTCGGGACAGCGCAGCCACTTTCATCCAATAGGATTTTTGCTAAACTTTCCTTTTTTTAACTAAGTTTTTGACTCCCAGGTGTGTCTGGGGGAACCCCCTTCCCAGGTGACCCCCCCCCAAAAATGGCTAGTCCTGGCTGAAACCATGAGCCACAAAAATCCCCTTCTGCTCCCGAGCTCTCGCCCGACCAGCTCTCCTCCCTCATAGCCTGTCCCCGCAGTCCCCCCTGCTGACACCACGAGGCTCCCCCACCTCCACTGGGTCAGTCCCCAGCTGAGAGCTCCCTTGGGGGAGAATGGGGCCCGATCCCCCGCTGGGATGACATCACCGGGATCAAGCCAAACCTTTCCCAAATGTTGCCATTTCGTGGGGTGCTGTTAATGACGTTTCCCAGCCGGCCGAATGGAAAAGGAGCATTTTGCCTCTGGAACGCTGGGCTACGGAGCTGGCCTTGGCCACAAACGGAATGAGTTTGGCAGGGTCTCAGCCTAGGCCCCGTGAAACGAGCCAGCGAGCAATGGTTAACAGTCCAGCAGCACCGGCTGAGTCTGCTTGGTGGGGGCCCAAAGAGTGGCAGAGGAGGGTTGGGGCTGCGGGTCGGGACTGAGGGGCACTGACAGAGCTGGGGTGACGGGGTGGGGGGGGAGGTCTGCAAGCTGATGTGCGTTGGCAGTTAGTGGCGTGGGAAGGCTACGCAGGAGGCCAGGACTGGAATAACAGGTGGGGTGGGAGCTGCTGTCCTGGGGGGAGAGTCCTGGACTGGAATAGCCCCAAACTGCAGCCCCCCTGCTATTCCAGCCCTCGGCTCCCCCCATACTCAGCTCTGCCAGCACCCCCCAGTCCTGACCCGGAGCCTCCCCCCGCTTTTCCAATGGTCAGCTCCAGCTATAACACTGTCAGTGCACCTCCGCCCTGGCCTGCAGCCCCCCGCGGAGGTCCAGACAGGCCCACGTCAGGAGGGGCTCCAGCCTGGACTAGCAGGTGCTGCGAGGCAGGAGGAGGGCAGCAGTGGGACATTCAGCTCAACATCTGCCCGCGTCACCCTGGCACCCGCTCCCGCATGTATGACCCCCCCCCCCCCGTGTCCCTTCCCCACGCAGGAAAGCCAGCGAGCCTCTGCTGAGTGAGTATAAACAGTTTATTGCTGTGGATGCTCTGCTGAGAGACGCAGGCAGGAGCTGGTGAGTTACCGCAGCCTCTCCCCTTCTGCCCACGGAGCGAGGACGGGCCCCTCGCCCGGTAGGGAGCCCGGTTCCCCCGGCCCGTCTCGGAGGCTGCCGAGGTGAAAGCACCGATGGAAAGGGCAGTGTGAGCAGGGCCTGGACCTGCCACGAGGCACCTTCCAGCCACCCGCCCACGGGCACCTCCCAGCACAGGCTGCCCAGGAACGGGAGCAAAGGCGCCGCCCCCGGTGGTCACCCAGCACACGTGCGCCTTGATCTCGGTGAGGAAGCGTGTGCGCAGGGCCTCGCGCCGCCGCTTGACGCTGGAGTCCAGCCGGTTCTGCGTGCGAGTCCCCTGCTCGGAACCAGGAACCGGGCTCCCTCGCCCCGGGGCGCTCATCTGCCTTGCTCCTGCAGCCGCTGCATCATCAGGATCTGGTACAAGAGCCTCTGCACGTCTTCGTCCATGTGGCCCTGCAAAGGAGATGGAGGCGGGGAAATCAGCGGCTGCCCTGACTCCCACCCTCCGCCAGCCCCACTGGCTAAGGCAGGGCAGGCCAGCCCAGCAGAGACGCTCTCGAGCTGAGCAGAGCCCAGACCCCTGCACCTAAGCCACGGAGACGGCCCTGCTCCTGCTCACACCCTAGGCAGGAGCACATGGCCACTGCCGGATGCTCAGCGAGATAATTCCTTCGTTCTGCTGGAAATGGGCTCAGGATGCAAAGTTCAGCTCCAGATCCCAGAGGCCAGGGGAGCCCAGAGCTGGGGGGCTGGTTCTGGCCCAGCGCTACATTTCGGGAGCTCAGCTGGAGGAGAAAAAGGCTGTTCCAATGTTGGTTTCCCTGCTTTTCACATACACTGTCAGACACACACGCCTCGGACCCGCTGCACGTCCCGGGCACGGAGACGCAGGCGTCGCCACGTGTGCACCGCACGCCTGGGACCCGCCGCACGTCCCAGGCACGGAGACGCAGGCGTCGCCATGTGTGCACCGCACACCTTGGAGCCGCCGCACGTCCCGGGCACAGAGACGCAGATGTCGCCACGTGTGCACCGCACGCCTCGGACCCGCCGCGTGTCCCGGGCACGGAGAAACACCGTGGCAAGGAGCGTGCACTCGACATGCACACACACACACAGGCATACACATGGCTCACAGGATCCTGCCTTCCGCACAAGTGTCCTTCCACCCAGCATGACCCACCAGCTCCTGTCCAATGTGTGCTGAGACCCTCCGCCCTTCCTCAAACTCCTGCTTGACCCCAAGGGACAAGGCCAGGATTCCCCACCCCCAAGGAGCATGGCACTTCCAAGGTCACGTCCTTCAAGTGCTGGGGCTCTCAGGGGCAGGGATGGAAATCGGGGGAGACTGGGATGTCGTTTTTGTAGGTCCACACAGGCCTAGTAACCACTGTCTGAAATGCTTGGAATTCAGACAATCATCCAATACACACCCATACACCCATTTATACTGACACACCCATGTGCAAACACCCCCCCACTTCCACTGACACACATATGTGCAAACACTCACCCACTTATACTGACACACCCATATGCAAACACCCCCACTTCCACTGACACACACGTGTGCAAACACACACCCATTTATACTGACACACCCATGTGCAAATACCCCCCCACTTCCAGTGACACACCCACATGCAAACACCCACCCCCACTTACATTGACACGCACCCATGTGCACACACCCACATATACTGACACACACGTGTGCAAATACCCCCCACGTCCAGTGACACACCCACGTGCAAACACCCACCCCCACTTACATTGACACGCACCCATGTGCAAACACACACCCACATATACTGACACACACGTGTGCAAACACCCACACTGATTCAGAAACACGGACGGATACATGGACGGATACACACAGAATAGCGAACGCACATGCCCAATAACCGCGAGATACGGCGCCCCCAGCCCAGCCCTGCCCCCCGCGCACTGACCTGAATCGCGCAGAGCAGGTGGCTCCGGTAGAGCGAGACGACCTTGAGGTGGTGCGTCTCCGTCTCCTGGAACCAAGGCGAGACGGGGGGGAGTCACACTACAGTCCCAATGGGACCCGGCCACTCTCCGCTCACGGCCCCTCTGACCAGCGCCCCCCTGCCAGACACGGCACCGAGCTGGGGCCCGGAATCGGATCCTGCTCTGGCTCGCACACCGGACACAGCCGAGGGGAACCGGTGTCACTCCCCTTTGGTACCCAGCTAAAGCAACTCCCTCAGTGCAGTATAAAGATGTGGCTGTTTTAGCACAGGGGTTACCGCTGGACCTCTGCTGTGACCAGGGACGGAAGGGCAGAAGGCATCGGGCCAAGACACACTGGCCCAGATCCTTAATGGTATTTAGGAGCCTAGCTCCCATGGGAGTTAGGAGCCTATTATACCTTTGTGGGGCTGGGCCCCTGAATCAGCATGGTCCACGCAGACCTCGGAGCCAGCGACTCTGCGGCTTCCACCTGCCCAGACGGTGCCCCCAGGTCCCGAGCTGCACGTCAGTTTCCAGACGCAGCCGAGGTCAGCGCTTAGCCCCTGCTGTCCCCGAGCCCAACAGGGGACTACCACCACAGAGCCCAGGGACCCGCTCTGTGGCGGGCTCTGCTCCTCCCCTCTCCCAGGGCCAGCTGGTCCCGGATACCCACGGCCAGCTGCTGTTCCAAGGCCTTTATCGTGCCCTGCAGCTTCGCCACCTCCTGCGGGTTCTGCTGCTTCTGCGGGGCCACCTTGGGCAGGGTCCCCCCCTGGCCGGAGAGCTCAGACAGGCTGTTCAAGGCCTCCTTCAGCTTGAAGACTTCCTTGGACAGCTCGGTGATCTGCAAAGGCGAAGGGATCGGCCGGTCACGAAGGGTTGGCTGAGTTCACCAGGGCGGGTTAGAGTCTAGGGCAAAGTCTCACATGATTACAGGACCCGCAGCACAAGGGATTCCAAAGCCCAACTCCCCTGCGTCACCCTCCCGGCCAGCCCTCCACGGAGCCAGACCTGCTCGTTAACCCTTTGGTTGCTGCAGCTTCCTCCTTTGGGGGCACCCGCATTCCACTGGGGCATTGGCCTTTTGGGCAGCAGAAGGGTGCGATCTGCTCTGGGTGGCAGATAAACAGCTAAAGAGCCAGCGGCGCCAACGTCTGTTGCTGGCCAGCCAGCTCCTGTCCCTACTAGAGCCGGGGGGGGGGAGGTGGGTTGGTCTCTTTTGCCGCAAATGGTGACAAACGAGTTGTTTTCTTGGAGGTTTTTCGCTCCGTGACCAAAGATGGTGAAGAAAAATTCTGTTTCGTTTCCCTGGGGGAACCTTCCCCTCTCACTTTCTCGCCCTTTTGCCTAGCAGAAAGATGTGCCAGGCAGCGGCGTTCCCCCTTCGAAAGAAACGTACATTCGGGGAATGCTGCATGGCCCCAGACCCACCTCTCACCCGCCTCACGTGGCTCTATCGCGGGCAGGGATCTGGGATCCCCAGACCCAAATTTCACCCCTACCCATGGCTCTCTTGTGGGCAGGGCTATGGGGTCCCCAGTCCCACATCGAACCTGGCTCTAGCGTGGGCGGGGTGATGGGGAAGCCCAGACCCACCTTCCTGTCCTTCTCCTTGACCAGCTTGGCCGAGTCCTCGATGTGGCCGTGCAGCTCCTGGATCCGGCCCGACTCGGCCCGCAGGCTCTGCAGCTGCTTCTCCGCGGCTGCCAGCTGGGCCTCGGCCGCGTGCTTCTCGCTCTTCATGAAGAGGGCCTCGCGCTGCACCTGGAACACCTCCGTGCAGGTCTTCTCGTGCTTGCGCTCCAGGTCGCTGAGCTTCAGGCTCAGCGTGCTCACCTCCGCCTGCAGGCTGCACCGCAGCTGCTCGTGCTCCTCCCTGGGGACCGTGCCCTCCCGCGCGCTCGCCAGCTCGCCCTGCAGCCGCGAGGCCTCCTGGGCTTTGGCGGCCAGCTCCCGCTCCAGCTCCTGGGCTCTGGCCTTCAGCTCCCGGACGCTGCCCACCAGGGCCTCCTTAGCTCGGGCGTGCTCGGCCGGCGGGACCCACTCCCGCCGGTACCGCTCCGCCGCCTGCTGCAGCTCCCTCGCCTCCCGCTGGGCGGCGCTGTGCCTCTCCTCCAGCTCCAGCAGCTTCTTGTTGGACTCGGCCAACAACCGGCCCAGCTCCCCCGCCAGCTCCTCCTGCTCCTGCCTGGAGATGCTCTCGGAAGCCACCTGCTCCTTCAGGGCGCTCAGCTCCTCCTCCTTCTTGCCCTGATCCTCTCGGAGCCGGGCCTGCACCGCCTCGTGCTGCCCCCTCAGCTCGTCCAGCTGCTCGCCGAGCTGCCGGTTCTCCTCCTCCAGCCTCTGGCTGTCCGAGAGGTGTCCCATTGCTCGCTGCAGCTCCCCGGCTCCCTCCTCCACCCTCCGCCTCAGCTGCTCCGCTTCTGCCTCCGCTTGGCGGCACCTCTCCAGCAGCTCGGCCTTCTCCGCGGCGGCTTCTCCCAAGGAGACGCCGAGGGCCGCCCTCGTCTCCTCGGCGGAGCGGCCTCGACGGGCTGCTTCTTCCTGGGCGGCCAGCCGCCCCTCCAGGTCCTTCACCCTCTGGTCTCTCTCCAGCAGGGCCTCCTGGGCTTTCCGCAGAGCTGCCCTCACCGTCTCCAGCTCGCTCCCGGAGCTCTCAGCCGCCTCCGGCTCCTCCACGGACAGGATGCCCAGCTGGATCTGCTCCCGCAGTAGCTGCAGCTCGGCCACGGCTGCCTCGTGCTTCTCCCGCGTCTCAGCCAGCATTTTGGTCAGCTCTTCCACAGCCGCATCTCCAGCTCCTCCTTCCCTGCTGCTTCCTTCTGCCGGCACCCCGGCCTGGCCCGGCTCCTGGCCTTTCCCCTCGGGCTCAGCTGGGGTGTTACTCCTCTGCAGCGCCTCCTCTAAGGCCTGGAGCTGCGCCTCGTATTCAGCCTTCAGCTGCTTGTAAGCCTCCACCGGGACTAGCTCGCAGGAGGGACCGTGGGGCCCACTGCCTTCCAGAGCCTGCAGGGCAGCCTGGGCCTCGGCGTGCTGCTCCCTGAGCCGGTCGAACTCCGACTTGAGGGAGTCGTAGAGGACGATGGGGACGAAGTCTTCCGCCGGGCCCACGTCACTCTCGTCTTTCTCGTAATTCTCCAGGATCTGCCAAGGGCGGGGGGATAAAACCATGAGACTTCCTCACTGGGACCCCGAGACCCGCAGGGGGATTACAGCAGCACAACACAACGGTGCCTGCTGTATGGAGCGGCCCAGAGCTCCTGAGGTGCTTCCCAGGGCCTGATCTCTCCTTCCATCAATTACACCAGTCCAGGTCCGCTGATGTGGGCAGAGTTACCCCTGATTTACACCAGCGTGGGAGGAGACTCAGGCCCTGTAGTTTAACTGCACAGCGGGCTACGATACAGCGACAGAGTTAGACAGCAGGGCCTTGGAGCCGAGCGGGTAAGTACAAGGCAAAGGAGCAAAGATTAGGCTACAAAGGTTGGGGGCAGACGGGAGAGAAGAGAAGAGGCTGGAAGACGACTTCAGAAGGCGTCCCCAGCAAATTCGAGCTGGGCCCTACGGTGAAGCAGGGAGCCTGCAGGGCCATTTGAGGGGGGTAGCAGGGGCGGCGGCATGGTCTGATGTCTCTGCACACACAGTAAGGCAGGTGGCGGCTTCCTGCACCTCCCTGAGTCTGGAGAGACCACGGAGAAGGGAAGAGCCATCGTGTGGTCAGGGAACCAGAGGGTCTGGAGGGCTCCCACCGAGACGGAGCAGGGGCAGCGGCACAGGGGTGACAGCAGGATCGCGTGCAGGGGAGGAGAACTCAGTATGAAGGACGGTGCAAAGGTTACAGACAGAGATGGGGGCAGGCCGAGGTCTTTGCCGCGTGCTAGGGGTCAGAAACCTGCCATCCGCATCCGTCACAAGGCAGCAGCCGCTGGCTCACCCAGGCCCGTTGGGTCCCAGCCCTGAACCGGCACACTAAGGAGATGCTGGCCCTGGGAGGGGGGACCAGAGAGGGCCTCCAGGGGATGCTAGCAGGGGAAACCCGAAGCGCGCAGCTGGCTGAAGGGGGGACGAGCCGGTACCTGTATCTTCTCCAGCAGCTCCTGGTTTTGCACGGTGAGCGACTGCACCTGGCCCTGCAGCGTGGCCAGCAACTCCTCCGTGGACAGACTCAGGGTCTTCTTGGACAGCAGCAGCTCTGCCCCTGAAAGAGCAGCAGAACCCCCCGCCCCCACAAAGCCCCATCACTAACTAACCCTGGTCCTTGACCCGAACAGCCCCACCCCCACCCTGAGAGCTGCCCCCTGCCAAACCTTCCCAGGCGTTTTCCAGCACGAGCCCAATCCTGCAAGGTGCCAAGGGGCCACCTCTCCCATGGGAGCCGCACCCCGGCCCAGGGCGGTGCTCCATCCCCTGGCGAGGGCTGGGCCTGGTGCACTGGTGGAGGGGCCTGCTACGTGCTTGGCGAATACAGCCCCATCTTTCAGCCCAGGCAGCAGGAGCTCATGTTTAAAGATTTGCAGAGCCCAGGGTCAGTCCCCGCTCTGCAGGGCACGCTCAGCCCCTCGCAGGGCCGTGCCCTCGGTGAGAGCAGCAGGCAGGGCGCGATGACCAACCTGGGAATTCCAGCAGGTCCCCCTCTTCGTCCTGCAGCGTGTCGATGTCGTAGCTGGTGTCCTCCTTCTCGTTCTGGGGCACAGACAGGCAGGCAGTCAGGGACACCCCCGAGATTACAGCCCCCCCCCCCGCCCCATTCCCTGTGCTGTCCCACGGCGCCAGTCACTGAGACAGGCAGCAGCTGATGCTAACCATGACAGCCCACTGTCCCTACCGCAGCTGAGCCAGCCTCGGGGAAAGTCCCACAATTCACTGACCTCCTGCATGACTCAGTAAGACCTAGAGCTCCGTGTCCCCTGCTGTCCTACCTCCAGCAAGGACAAGCGGCTCCGGAGCACTTCAACCTCCTTCCTCAAATGCTCCTTCTCCCCCTCGCTGTCCGCCAGTTGCTGCTGGAGTTCCTTTATCTGGATCAGAAAATGAGACGCAGCATTAGAGCCGGACACTCGCGCCGATTCCCGTCCGTACCTTCCGAACTAGGTGGGGTGGATCTTTTACAAGGCCACAGAGCCAGACCAGGGCCCAGCAAGGATCCATCTAGTCTGGTATCCTGTTCCAATGGTGGCAGATCCCAGATGCTTTGGAGGACAGATATCCCTAACCTGGCACTGGCATCCCAAAATTTCCTCCTGACCCCCAGCTGATGACCAGTTTATGCCCTGAAGCATCCGCATGCAGCCATTTTCCCTTCCCATCCCAGAGACCATCCGGAGCTCTCCGAGTCCAGTCTCCGGAGACATAACACCTGGCCTACCTGCTTCTCCATGGAGCGTAGGGAGTCCTCCTCCAACTCCAGCCGCTAGTGGGAACACAAGGAGAGTCCAAGACGGTTAACACGCTGCGCAGCCTGGTCCTCCCCATGGTCACGCATCAGCAGGTCTGATCGTGGGCTCAGAGCCGCAGAATGGGCAGCCAGGCTTTCCCAGCCACGAGGTGTCCCCTCTCAATTACCTCCCCACCCACCTTGCCGGTGCAAGACCCTCTGGCAGTAGCCAAGGTGATGCCACAAGCAGCTCCCTTCCTTCCCATCCTCCTTCCGCCAACCCGCCCAGAAACCCGGCTCGGCTGAGCCTGGCCCTCGCGGGGCGGGGGAATCACATCCGTACCTCCCGCTTCTGCTTCTCCTGCTGCTGCTCCAAACCCTTGATCTTCTGCAGGAATCGAGCCCGTTCCTGCCTCAGCCGGACAATCTCCTCGTAGGCCTCCCTGTCCTCCTGTGGGGAATCCCAGAGGCGGGGCAGTCAGGGGAGAGCAGTGGGTACCCATCCCGCCCCATCCCGCTATCCCTGCCAGAGGATCCTCACCGTGTCGGCTGGGGCGGGGCGAGCCCTGGAAGGCTTGGCGGTGACTATCCGGCTGCTCCGCTGTGTGGAAGGGGAGCTGTGCTCCGGAGAGTGTGGGGTGTGCTTGAAAACAGTAACAGTCGTCACACAGAGAGAACGAGGCTTAGCCAGTAAGCCCCCAGCTCTCTTCCCGCAGAAGTCCCATTATGCCTTCCACCTCCCTCCCCAAATGGGCTGAATGGCTTCACACACCCGTGCAGGGATCGTTTCACCCAATACCCTGATGCAGCCACTTCTAGGGGGCAGCGGGGCAGCTGTTTCACACCACACATTGGTTATGGAAATAAAAGCAGAGTCTCGGACCCAACTGCAACCACAAGGGGGATTTCAGGGAGCGGGCTGGCCCTGCCAGCTGGAGTTTGGCCAGGACACTGGGACTGCCGCGTAATCGGAGCACTGCGCTGGGACTCAGGAGCCTTGTGTTCTGCCCCGATCTGCTGGGTGACCTTGGGCAAATTGTGCCTCAGTTTCCCCCGTAAAACAGGACGACGATACCGCTGACCTCCTTTGGAGATCTACACCCAAATTTTGACAGGCAGCACTTCCAGCAGCATGGGGCCTCCTCATGAGACACAGACTCAGAGAAGAGCACCTCCTACTGCCTCACCATCTCCCATCCAGCCACTGACCAGGCCTGTCCCTGCTTAGCTTAAGAGACATGGCAGGGTCCCAACACTCAGTGGCCAGGCAGCTGGAGCCAAAGAGGGGCTAAGACAGCACTGGGAAATCCAGAGGAGGGGCGGGGGCTGGAGTTCTTGTTCTCCATCAGAACCCCGTCATCAGAAACACACTGAGTGGTGTACCCAGCCCTTGCCTGCGGACACCACGTCCACCACCGGGAAGGGGCACTTACCCAGTCAACAGCATACGGGGAAACCCTCGTTGCAGACAAGCGACCAGACCAGGGCAAGAGAAATTAACTAGAATCCCCCATCCCCAGCTGAGATCTACCCATGGCCTGTCAGTGCCAGTCGGCTGCTGGACCATGCCCATTTGTCAGAGCCAGGGGCACAAGCCTCACAGGCTGCCTGTCTCCCTCAACTGCCGAGGGACACAAGTCGATCATGCCTAGGAAAGACCTGGGGGAAGAGCTCGGTGCATTAGCAAGGTCCCATGGGGCAGGTAAACGCCTTAGGGCTGCACAAGGGAAGGATGGCACAATGATTAGGGCATTTGTCTAAGGCCTGGACGGCCCGGCTTCAATTCCCTTCTCTGCCACAGACTTCCTGGGTGACCCTAGGCACGTCACCCAGGCCCAGATCCTCAAAGGTATGTTGGTGACTAATTCCCACGGAAATCAACGATTTGACCTTGAGGGACCTGGGCCTCAGTCTCCCCATCTGTAAAACGGGGCCCACAGCACGGCGGTGTCGTGAAGATAAACGTGTTAAGGATTGTGAGGCTCCCAGATGCAAGGGGGGTGGCGGCTAGATAAGCACCTTAGCAGCTCTATGGTCAAATCCCTTTATGTAGGTCCCCTCCCTCGCCGTCTCAGCTGCGCCCCCGCCCCCATCGCTACATCCTGGGTGTGCACAAACGCTGCAGCCGGCTTGGTTACTAGAGGGTGTGTCACCAGCACCGGGGAAGCTGCCTAGACCATCAAACACCACAGCCCTTGGGGAACATCACAGCAGGCTCGGGGACGCTCTCCTGCGGCTTCCTGATGGGGTGTGGGGAGGGGCGGGGGAGGCAGAGCCAGTGGCCCCCTCACCTGGCTGGAGGTGCCGGGGGGCGGCGGAGGGGCTTTCCTCTTTCTCGGGGTGCCGTTCCTCTCGCTGGGCAGAGGCTGGCTCGGTGACGCTGTCTGCGGAGATACGGATGGGAGAGGGCTCCAGTCTCTCCCAGCAAAACCCGACTGGGGGGGGGGGAGAAAGGACGGGAGCAAGCTCAGAAGAGCATCCCCAGGGGCTCCTAATCCCTCCCCACCACCCTGGCCCTCGAAAAGCCTCATGTTCCAGGAGGGCTTCGCGGGGCCTCTGTTCTCCCGCGAGCCCGGAGAGCCCTTCCCCTGCCCTGGGAGGCGGCCAAGCCGGGTCAGGCCGGCCCAGTTCGGTGGAAGCCCCTGAGCGGTTGGAACGCGGGGCTCTCTGCTGGGCCAGGCCCCCGGCGTCTTTACCTGCGACGTTCGCTCAGCCGACTCCTCTTCTGTGGGAGGCAGAGGGGAGGAAACAGAAACCAGCAGGAGGTTAGAGGGGGCCGGGGGCACTGGCCACCCGTGGCCTGGTCCCCTCAGCTCGAGGGGGAGCAGACGGACAGACAGACAGACCCCCTCCCTGGGGCTCTGGGCTCCATGCTGCCATGCAAGCCTGGGACCCAACTCCCACCCCTCAGCAGATGCCGCCCGTCACTCTCCAGCACCCCCATCTGGCCTGGCCAGGCCAGGGAGAGGCACTTCCCATCCAGAGTTTGAGCGGCTGGGCGAGTAAAAGGAGGGGTGCCCCAGAGACCACCCCCACACATGCTCCCTGAGCCCACCCAACAGAGTCGGGCCAGTCACCCCACCTGCGAAGCAGGGACATTACCGCCTCCCCCTGGGCAGGGGTGAGACGCTGCCGCACGGTGCTCTGAGACCTCGGGAAGGACGGGGTTTGGCCTGGGCACCTTACCGCTGGCCCAGGAGTGGCGCTGGGAGGCGTCCTGCAGGTAGTGCTGGATCAAGGCGTTCCCCGTGGCCAGGCCGTAGCGCGCTGCGTCCTGGCCCCTGGCGTCCACCAGGCCGACCCGCGCCCCGGCATGGATGAGAACTTCCACCGTCTCCACGCTGCCGTTCCCGCAGGCCAGCATCAGGGCTGTTCTAGAGCGGGGGTGGGGGGAGAGAGATGGCCCCACTCACCCTCCGGAGCCAGCGGCATGAGGCTGGTGAACTGGATGGGAACCCACATCTCTGCTGGGGCCAACTCTCCTAGCCTTTCTCTCCCGCTGCTCCTGGCCACTCTCCCCTCTCCGCCCCGAGGACAGGACTGCCCAGGTTTGCAATCAGACTCGGGGCAGCCAGGATATCCCGCAGCGACAGGCCGGGAGTGAGAACCCCGGCCAGACTCCAGCAGACACTGCACGGGGAAACCCCATCTCAAGGCAGGGAGCTCACCTGCACCATCACCCTGCCCACACGAGGCAAAGGCGGGATCTGCGCAGGCCGTTTAGGTTACGGCTTTGTAAGACGCTTCCTCGCAGATCCACAGCCAGCGCCTGCCTGACTCATCCCGACCCCCTCGCGTCAAGACGGATCCAGGCCCTGAGCAGCTCCCCCAGAGGTGGCCATCTGGAGACCTCTGGCCCCTAGTCGGATCCAGGCTCTCAGTCCTGCCCACTGGTAGGACTCACTTCTCCGCCATGAGTCTCCCCACCCCCATTCTTTAACCCTCTCCTCTCCAGCCCCCCTTCCTTCCAGGGCCCTTCAGAGCTCACCTGCCTTGCTGGTCTCTGCTGTTCACAGCAGCTCCACGATGCAGCAGGTACCGGCACAGCTCCGAGTGGCTCATCTTAGCTGCCAGGATCAGAGGGGTGGAGCCATCCTATAGCAGGGGCATGGCGAAGGAAAGTCAGTGGGGGGAAGGGGGTAAATGAGCAGCAGCGGGTAGCCTGGCTCTGATACAGCCCTCTTCGCTGTCTGGTACCCGCCTCCTGGGAGCGTCTCCCATCTGTCCAGAGCCAGACCCCACTGCAGACGGACGAGCCCATGAAGCACACCCTGTCCCATCACCAGGCAGGCGGTCACCAACCCTTCCCTTAATCATAATGGCACCTGGCTCTTCTAGAGCGCTGTCCAGCAGGGGAACTCAAAGCATTTCACAATCTTTAACCAGCCCACCCGTGAGGCAGGGCAAGGCTATTATCCCACTGGCCAGAGGGGGAGGCACAGGAAGGCTAAATGACTTGCCCAAGGTCACGCGGGAGGTCTGTGGCAGAGCAGGGAATTGAGCTCGGGTCTCCCAACTCCTAGGCGAGTGCCCTAACCACTGGGCTGTCCTTCCTGAGGCGGGACGAGATATTATTTTGTAAGGTGGACACCATGTGCAAAGAAAGCAAACTAAATAGAGATGTAAAACCCAGCGCATCTGGTGAAGACGCATCTGGTGAAAACCCAGCTCCACGAGCGGCATAAGCCACGTCTGCGGGAGAAGTTCTCCCACCAACACAGCGCTGTGCACATGAACGCTCATGGCGGGATAACTTATGTCACTCGGGGTGTGGAATATTCACACCCCTGAGCGACATAGATTTTGCCGAGGCCGTAGTGTAGATATAGCCTTAGATGCAAGATTCCTCTTCGCTTCATGTCCTTTAACACCAGGCATTATTCTGTGGATCTCGGGTACTTACACAGCAACATCCATTAGGAGCTGAAGGTAAAATAGGTATATCTGTTATTGCTGTGTTCTGTTTAGCTGCTGCTGCGTTCCACCCAAGAAGTGGCTGCATTTCAGTGGTGGGTGAGGTGATCTCTGCACATCTGGGTCTCAGCTACATTACACCACCTTTCCAATGGAGAGTAAGGGGCACCTAGGTTTGTGGTGACTCTCTGTGCAGCGGAAATCAAACCCCTGAAGGTCAACAAAGCATAAACCTGATGGAAAGAACCACCTACCTTGTCCTTGGTATTCAAGGAGGCCTTGAAATCGCAGAGAATCTCGGAGCATGAGATGCAGCCACTGACAGCTAGAGAGGAAGAGAGAGGCTGTGAACCCCTGCTCACTGCCCCTCCATGTTCCCCCATGCCAGGATCTGGCCCAGAATGGCAAATCCCAAGGTACTACACTGGAGAGAGCATACTCTTCTGTCTAGGGAGACTGGATCCACGTGGCCCCATCACCATGGAATCTGGGCACATTCCTGGCCCTCACTCCCCTGTGCATTCACCCTTCTGCACAGCCACCTGCCTTTGAAATCCTCACTATAAGTCAAGTTACCGGCGGGCGGTTTACCCAGCTGATTTGACACCCGCGTTTAAGATGGGGGAAGGGGAAGATGCAAGTGGGACGGAGGGTCCTCGGCTGACCTGCATGGTGGAGCGCTGTCCAGCCGTTGCTGTCGGCTCCATCAACCGGGCAAGATGCCTAATGGGCAGAGAAGATGGTGAGTGAAGAACAGGGGGCAACCACCTTCCCAGTGGTGTGGGAGTTAAAAAAAGAAGAAGAAGAAGTGGGTAACTTGTCAGAGAGACCCATGGGTAGGTACTACTCTGTGTCAGCAATTCTTGTCAGGCCTGACATATTCACTACACCTAACACACTGTTGTCATGATATACACCCAAAAGGTTGCCTGTAATAAGAACGGCCATATTGGGTCAGACCAAAGGTCCATCTAGCCCAGTATCCTGTCTTCCAACAGTGGGCAATGCCAGGTGCCCCAGAGGGAATGAACAGAACAGGTAATCACCAAGTGACCCATCCCCTGTCGCCCATTCCCAGCTTCTGGCAAACAATACATCAATGGAAAACTAATAACTCACCGATCATTAATATTCTTGTGTGATGTATGTACGGGGTGCGTACAAAGAGTTATATGTTCTAGAATATTGTTCTTAAAATGTGTTGGGCAAGCAATCCATCAGACCAGTCTGCCTGAGATAAAGGAATGTGTATTTGCTTGTCTGACCAGCCTGGTTGTCAGGCAGAGACAATGAAGGTACGATTACATAACAGATAAACCAAGCCACCAACCTAGCAAGTGGAGGAGATAGCTTCCAGGCCAAAGACAAGGGGTCTGAACCTCAAATGATAAGCAGTTGACTCAGCGGTTTACATTACTGTATTATCAAAGTGTCGCAGGTATGGTCTTTTATGAAAGCCTGTGACAGGAGAGAGAACCTTGGTCTGGGCTTAGTTGTCAAATAATACATTGCAAAGGTTTCCTGGATTATAAAAAGAAAGGGGAGAGAACCCCGTAGTGGTCCATCACTTGGGGGATTCAAGGGGGCAGAGCTCTTGAAATCACAGAAGGTTGAGTCCTTCAGCCAAGAGGGCTGAAGTTTCTGGGAACTAAATTTAGGTGAGAAACCTACTTGGGCCAAGATTGTAACTTTCTCAAATCAAGTTTTAGTCTTAGAGGCTGTCATAACTATAAAGGGAAGGGTAACAGCTCTCTGTGTACAGAGACTCCAAATCCTTTTACCTGTAAAGGGTTAAGAGGCTCGGGTAACCTGGCTGACACCTGACCCGAAGGACCAATAAGGGGGCAAGATACTTTCAAATCTTGGGGGGGGAAAAGGCTTTTGTGTGTGCTCTTTGTTTTAAGGGTGGTTCGCTCTTGGGACTGAGAGGGACCTGACATCAATCCAGGTTCTCCCCATCTTTCTAAACAAGTCTCTCCTATTTCAAACTTGTAAGTAAAAAGACAGGCAAGGCGTCTTAGATTTACTTTGTTTTCTCAACTTGTAAATGTACCTTTTACCAGAGTGTTTATCTTTGTTTTGCTGTACTTTGAACCTAAGACAGAGGGGGGTCCTCTGAGCTCTTTAAGTTTGATTACCCTGTAAAGTTATTTTCCATACTGATTTTACAGAGATGATTTTTACCTTTTTCTTTAATTAAAAGCCTTCTTTTTTAAGAACCAGATTGATTTCTCCTTGTTTTAAGATCCAAGGGGGTTTGGATCTGTATTCACCAGGAGTTGGTGAAAGGAGGGTGGGAGGAAGGAGGGGGGATGGTTAATTTCTCCTTGTTTTAAGATCCAAGGGGGTTTGGATCTGTGTTCACCAGGGAATTGGTGAAAGGTTTCTCAAGGCTTCCCAGGGAGGGAATTCTTGTGATGGTGGCAGCGGACCAAAGCTAAGCTGGTAGATAAGCTTAGAAGTTTTCCTGCAGGCCCCTACATTTGTACCCTAAAGTTCAAAGTGAGGATACAGCCTTGACAGAGGCTCATTTTTACTTCTGCTTTGTTTGTAAGCATTTATTCCTTACATTTGGGATCACTCAAGCCTCTGACTTTTTGTTTAATAACCTTGTTTTACGTTTTCTATAAACCAATGCAGTGCTGTGATTGAAATCAGCGTGTTTGTCAAATCCCAATTAAATGAATGAGCTGCCGTATATTGACTCTTCAGAGGGGAACCAAGTTAATAATTTCTCTGTGTTCCAGGAGAGGGCTGGATGCTGCAGAGGCAGGCGGTTTGGGGGAAATTCAGGACTGGGGTCACTCTGCAAACAGTACCGGGGAGATGGAAGCCAGGGTGTGACCCACATGCTTGTCTGCTGGCTGTAAGCCACAACAGCACAGGCACATCAAAACTCACCTGAACTAAAAACCACATTCCCCACATGAGAAGTGGGTAAACTCCCTTTTTTACCCTCAACTACACTACCGCACCTTATTCACAGCACCAAGGCACTGCTGCTCTGCGGTGACACCTTCAGCAAATCCCTGGCTGGCTCAGCAAGGCACCGTCTGAAGTCACCCACAAAAGGAAGGGTAACTGGCCAGGATCAAGGTCCCCTTTTCCATGCAGGTGCCCACCCTGTAATGCTAAGCAGCGAAGTTCTGCTGTGTCCAGTCACACAGTCAGTAGGGAAGGCAGAAGAGAAAGGCTGAGGGGTGGGATGTATTGACCTAAACTCTATCTTGCTGACTTATTCATGTAATAGCCTCTGGAGGAGACCAAACAGCTCAGGGGGTCATTCATGGACTGGACAGAGCTGGTTAGAAAATGGGATTTTCCCCCAGGGAAAATTTTGATTTTTTTCACCAAAAATTTGCAGACTGAAAGATTTTGGCTGAAAATTTTAAATGTCTCAAATGCTGCCATTGTGCCTCGTGGGAGTTGTAGTTTGGGTGCCCCAGGCTCACATTCTCTTCTATAGGCAGGGCTGCTTGGTTGGACTACAACTCCCATGATGCACCATGGTCTCCCTTCTTGGCGAGGGGAGGCAGGTCCATCATGGGAGACCCCGGCCATGGTGCATCAAAGGAGACAGCCTAAAGAGGAAAATAGGGGCAGGGGCACTGTGGCAGCATATCCCAATCAAAATATTTTGGTTTTTGAGGGATTCCGGTTTTTTACACACACAAAAACACAAACCGAGTTTTTCCCTGGAAAGCAGACACTTTTCACAAAACACTTGGTCAACATCCCAATTTTCCATTGAAAACCAGTTTAGATGGCAAACGTTTGACCAGCACTAATATGGAGATTTCACACCTAGATGGCAATTCTAACCCTGCCTAGGTTGTTCCCTAGACTGAAAGGACGCATGGACAATTTCCCTGCGTGGCCAGGAGCTTCCGCAGGAGGTGAACCCTATGAGGGCTGCTAGATTCCCCACAAGCTCCCTGCACCCTGATCTCCAGCCCTCGGTGCTTCAACACCAACAATGGACACATCCCTCCCTGTCGAACTCCAGGTTCCCACTGCTCCTGCTTGGCTGCCTTACCTGCAGCAGTTTGCTCACGCACTGTGGGTGGCCGTGTTTCGCGGCCAGGTGGAGCGCATTGTACCCTGGAAAGAGACAGACTGGCAGGTCAAGAGGTAATCATAATGATGGCGATACTTTATACGTGCACCCAGGGGGATCAAAACAAATCGTTAGCATCAAACAAGTTCTTCTCAACCCCCGCCCCCCACCCCGAGGCAGGTAATCGACATCCATGGATCACGTCACCAAATTGCAGCCACCTCTGGGGCAGGACGCAACAGCTGGTTAATGGTTCACAGCAGCGCTACGGGGTGGCTTAAGAAATGGGGACTCCTCTAGCCAATAAGAACTGCACAAGAAAAGCAGGGAGATAATACAATTTGCCAGGCTGGAATCTGACTAGGAATCCAGGGTTAACTCTCCTAGCGTGACGAAAAGCACCACGGAATCAGATCTGGAATCATTGTAAGTAGTCAGGAGCCAAACAATAGGAAATCCAGCAGCACGACGCCCCCTAGCACCCTGCTGGGGCACTACTTTATTATCAGCTTGGGAGAAAAAGAACATCGCTCACTGAATCACCAACACCCCTTTCCTGCAACACCTCAGTGGCCCACGTAGGTCTCCCATCCAAAGAGCAAACTGACCAGACCTTGCTTAGCTTGTGAGATGCAACAAAAGCCCAGCACAAAGCAGGATCTCATGGAAGCTAATCCTATGGTGTAAATTTTAAAATACTGGGACCATTTTTGAGTCTAAAGCATGCAGAGGAGACGCCCATACCCCTCCTAAGAGCACAGTAGAACACTCTAGTACAGTGGTTCTCAAACTTTTTTTTCACGGACTACTTAAAAATCGCTGAGGGTCTCGGCGGACCCCTTCATGATCTTTCCAAATGTTGTTTGTACCGTTCGCTAACTCCTGTAAAGTGCTTTGGATAAAAGCGCTATATATAAAAAAA